CTCTTTCAGTAACTGTGCTGGGTAAACGTCCCCTAACGGATTGTGAGGGTTGATCAGGATTAATGCTCTGACTCGGATACCCTGGAAAAAGAAAAACTGATAGTCGGAGATGCCAATGATGTCAAACAAAGGACTCTCAAGGATGCAAGCTAGCCAACTCTTCAGTGAGGAGCTGCTTTTGAAAATTTTTTAATTACACGTAAACAGATGTTTTAATAATTAGCATACAGAATGAGGTTCCAGCCACACATCTCATTTCAGAACTTATCCAGTACTACCCCCAGAAACATACTGAATAGTTTATTAGCAAATGAAAATCAGGTTAACACTCTCATAAAAAAAAAAAATCTGTGTCAGCAGGCAAGACTATGATGTTGTAGGGATCAGCATTTACTCTCGGTTCTGCAGGCATACTTCCAAAATAGTTTTGACAGGACGGAGCAAGGTTACTGTGGATATACATTGGGAAAGCTGAACGGAATTTGGATGTTCACGTCCTACAACCTGCCAAGCAATTCATTTTTTACTGTTGATTTTTTTTCTAAACAAGTACAAGACTCTGCAGAAGTCAAAGGCTGAAAGTGCAATGCCTTGGTGTTCCGTCAGAGGTGCAGAGGGATGCAAGGAGATCTGGGTAAAGAGTTTTCTCCACACTGTTATATAAGAGTGTAAATATTCTACTGTGCAATGAGAAGAGTCCCACATGATCAAAAATTAGATTACAAGTACAAACATAACTCATATTTTTAACTCTACAGGTGTATCTCAAAATCATATATTTTCTACTTGGTAAAAAAAAAAATCTTTAATGTATATTAACATAAGCTATTTTCAACAAAGATATTTTTATTGTGCATAGTCAAATACTGTAACGGTTACAGCAGGAACTTTCAAGAGTTAAACCCTATCAACATGAGGAATTGCCTTATTACTTCATGTTTGGGATAAACTTGAAATTAAATTAGTATTTTTATTTCCTCCTCCAAAGGAGGATTAGCTGCAAAGAGCAACTCCAGAGGAACTCCAGGAAAAAAAAGATCAGTTATGAGGGAGCACTCATATTAGCTCTCCCCTCAATGTATAATTTGTTTGAACATTTACGGGTACGGTGAGCAAAAACCAAACAAGAAATTAACTTTCAGTTTTTGCCTTTGGTTCCAGGCACAGAAAGAAATTACTTGAAAACAAGTGAAAATGTAAATACAAAGTAATAATAGCTTTTCCACAAGAACTCCTTGCTTGGATATCATCCTTATGCAGTGAAGTTCGTTTTTTGCAGTTGAGCATATTTCACATCTGACATGTATTAAGTAGCAGAAGATGCTGAGTGAGGAGTTAGTGTTCATAGGGCCAGCTGCTGTGGGATGGTAGTTTCTCAACTGCTATTTTAGTATAGTTCCTCCAGCTATTTACTATATTACATGCATACAGTTGTCTGTAATATTAACCATGAGAACAGCTGCAGCTCTTGAAGGATGACAGAGACATGCAGATCTCTAAAGAGTTAATCTGCCTTGTGATCCAGCATTTTGCCCAGACAGTTCACATTTTGATAGTCACAGTAGCAGAGCTTGGGTGCTAGCTAAATGCCTTTGCTAAGATCCAGTGACAACTTGTCCGAATCCTCGATCTCACATAGACCGGCATGGGCACAGAAGATGGCACAGACGTACGGATCATGTCTAAACACAAGCGGCGTGCTGACAGAGCAGTTCAGCTAACTAGGAGAGCTTCAACATATCTAAACCAAACCAACCAAACAAAAACTCCCAAATCAAAACAAATAAAACCCCAAAACAATTTTTTGCACGTTTGTATGTATTCAAAATACCCACTTTTTTAATGTGACCCTACTTAAAATACTGCTCTTTACAACTGACCTTACTTGTATGCTTTGCTTACTGTCAAACCTCATTTTCTGTCCTGGACGAGGACACAAGAAGTCTATTTCTTTGACCTGTTGTTTTGAAAACATTATTAATAGCACTACCGCTACATTTTTGGTAAAATGTTTCACTGTTCATCCTCTGCTCTCTCTGCTGGATCTTTATGAAGAGGAAAACAGACAGTTGAGTTTAAGTACATTTACAATTTTCCATGAAGTCTGTGGATAACGAACTTCAACATGATGAGAATCTCAAACATTTTGGCTGAAATAAAAACTATTGAACACTATTCAATTGTAATGGACACTCAAAAACAAAACTTTTGTTAAGTAATGCAGTTCCAAAAAAAGAACAAAGTATTGAAAAAAAGGTCATGCCATACAATGCTACAAATAATATTTATACACTGCTGACGAGAATAAAAGCGCTGAAAATGATAAATTAAGTATTTTGAACTACTGAAGTTTCCTAAATTCTGGAAAAACTACCTTTTCCAAGGAGCCTCACTAGTGGAAGAATTCTTCCCCCTGCCCCTCGACTTTCCCATGACATGACAGTACGCGGCATTCAATCCTCCTTGCTGGCCGGAATCCAGAAGAAGCCCCTTCAGAATCCCACGAGACACATCTCTAATTAGCTGAATGGGTCACTGAAGCAGCATATTCTGTCCTCTTCGAGTCTGAACAGTAGCTCCTTCACTCCAGTTCGATAAAAACCCACTGAGGAAGAAGCTTGGTCTTGAACAACAAACTAAGATCTGCTCTTCATAAAATAGAGTAAGGGTGTTTCTCTTTATTTTATTATATTGCCCATACTACAAAATCAATTAAATTTCTGTTGCCACAGTTGGGCCCACCCCAGTTACAAGACTGTGAAAATTGGTACACATGAAAACGCGTAAGTGGTTCAGTGCTGGGAAGTTATGCTGCTTACAGAATAACTAGGAAAACATGAACAATCACAAATCATTTAATGCTATTCCTACCTGTTTTTTAGCTCTCTGTAGTGCAGCTTCCAGTTTTTCAACTGTTAACTGGAAAGGGTGACTTTCTTCATCTGTCACCTGTAGAAAAAGAAAAAAAATCAACAAGAACAAAAAAATATGATGGTGAAAAAACACTCCTACCCAGTGAGAATATAATGGTCACTGGCTTTTAAAATAAGTAAGTTAAAAAGACCAAGCTGTTGATGGCACTAGCTCCAGGAGGGAAAATAGCAATCCAACAATATTATCATCACCTCAGAATCGGAAACCAAGACTATTCCTCTATAAATCAACTATTTTGTTTATTAAATGTTGTCCTTATCCAAGATTGTACTTTCAGTGGCTTGCAGAAGAACCTGTACACTTGAAAGCCTGTGTCATTTTCCCCTCCCTGACTGTATCACTTGGTTTTACAAAAGATACTACCTCCCTTTGCTTTGTTTCCCAGATTACTGAGCTTTCAAAGGGGAAATCCAGTGTTACACAGCCTATGTGGTAAATAAATGTTTCAGTGATTAAAGGAAAAAAAGTTTACAAAATGAACTTACTTCTAGGAGGGGTTACAGATCTGGAGCTCACAGATTATGACTCAGCATATCAATGCAGGGCAAAGTCCGTACAGAACGAATGTGATCCTGCACAGCTGATCACATCAGTCCCCTATCATGCTGCGGTCTGAAAAAAGGACAGACTACCTCTAAATGTGATTCAGAGACAGCTTTACCTCACTAGACAAGGGCACGTGAACAGGTTGTATTCCACCGTATAGCCATGTTTTCGAATTTATACCACCATAGTATGGAGTTGGAATAAGATAGCCATCTAAAAGTACAAAAAACAGAATTAACATTTCTCATGAGCAATTATTTCATCATAGCCTAGCAGACTAAACTGACAGCCTAAGAATTTGACATCTGATTTAATCTCAAAGCCACTAGTGTGGCCTAAAAACAATGTTTAAGCAAAATGGAAAATTTAGCATAAAATTTAGCAATCAACCTGAATTCTTTTCTGATTTTCTACCTTAACATTTGCAATTCCAGATTTGTTTTGATAGTCATATGAATTTGCAGTGCAAGGGAATGGACGTGATCCATGGACCTGATTGTTTTCTTTGTTCCTTTTTTAATCTTTTAAATAATAATGACAGTACCAGTCATGCTGTCCATATTTTGTTAACCCTAAATAAAACTCTCTGGTTTCACACCTTTTCTATCACCTATAAGTGGAAGTCATTGCACCACATAAGGTCCCCCGTAGTCCATTCTCCCTGCCAGGGGTTCTTGGCATCCAGTAGTAAGGTGCTACGGGGGGCACAGCCTCCTGTGCTGGAGGAAACGTTACTCCTCTTGCTCACCTTCCCTTTTTGGCAGGTCTTCACGGATTTCCCATTCCCTCCCGCACTACGCACCCGTTCTCCTTCCTTTATTCCAAACCAGACATGGATTTTCCCTTGCTGAGGTCTTTTTTCCCTTCTACTGTCTATTTCTGCTGAGAGCACCATGTTTCTCAGACCTCCAGGCCTTCCGCTTTGCCTTCCCACCTCTGCTTCCTCTTCACCACCTTTCTTACTTGACAAGGCACCCCTCTTTCACTGCAACTCTACTCCCGTTTCCCAAATTCCTTTTACGTTTTTTCCTTACCCTGTTACCCAAATTTTCTCTGGGTGCCTGATTTCAACCCACTCCATCTCCCTCCCTTGTGTGCCTGCTCCCTGCAGCCTATATCGTGGTTCCCACCTCTTTTTCTCATGACCTCTCAACATGCACTTTGCCTTCTCCTGATGCTATTCTCCTCTTCCTATAAGCTATAGCTATATAGCTTGAGCTATGTAGCTCAAAAAGCTATAGACTGTGTCCCAGAAAGCAAGTGCGCCTGCTGATACCTCAAAAATTTTCCACTGTTCTAGAAATAATCAGAGGCCTTATTTCAAAGACGCTCTGCTGGTGACTAAGAAATACTATGAAGAAATACTATGCTTTGCTTCATTCAGCCAGTTATAATAAAAGTAGTCTGTCATAAGTCACCATACTATTATGTTCACTGCTAACTAAAGTTTTCAAATTAAAATAATCAGTTTTTACTCACCACCAGGGTCACATAATACAGTTGACAGGGTAGCAAAAACAGCACAACAGCCGCTCATAACAGTGATCTGAAAAAAAGTAGTACAAACGCACCTTAGCCGAAATACCAGTGCCGGTCTAGCTTGAAAGTAACAGTTAGATGACTAAGACAGATTAGTAGTAGTTTTACTAGGAGCCTGGATTGAAAAAAATATAGCTATTTAAGTACACTTTCTGCACTAGAAATTAGTGTTACATGCCAAGTTTAAGCTGGTCACACTACTAAAGTTAAGCTCTTCTTAAATATGTCATCGCAATCTCTCTTCCCATCTCCAGTCTAGGTTTGCCTAAAGAATTGAAAGGGATTGGTAACATTCCTGCAGGTTAAAAACTAAACGAAGCCCACAGTATTTTCAAGTTTTTGGGTTTGCGTTCACACCCCGTCAGTGACTCCAGTGAGACCTGCAGTTTGGCAAACACTTGGGACTGTTATCCACTGGGAATACTTCTTCCAAAATGTCTAGGATTGCAATATGATCTCTCTTTCTCTCCTTTCCCAGTTTAAAAAACTAAAGTCAAAGAAATGTTGGAGACGTAAAGGTCGGAGAGAGACAGATAAAGAAGAGAAACCTGCTTCTACCTTCCAACTGCTGGAGGAACTGAGCAGAAGACATTTCAGCTATAGTAAATACTCAATATCCATAAACAAGCAGAGAAGTCTTAATCATAAGGCAGCTACGAAATGCATGTATCAGCTGCATCTTTCACTGCACACGCCGCTCCGACCTAAAGCCGAAGCGCCACAAAAATGAGTTAGGACTGTTGCATTGGTATTTCTGCATGTTGTTGTCATGTATTAGGTTTAGAAGCTGTTCACAAGTCTTGAAACTACAGGAGAAGGGATCCTCCTTCGCACAGTTCATTGCTGCTGCTTTTGCTTTCTGCATTGCTGTGGAAAGGGAAGAATGCCACAGCTCTCTGCAAGTACTGCAGAACTTCTCCCCACGCCTTTTCCCCCCTGAGTCTGGCAATTTTCAGTTTACAACTCACAGCATGTAAACCCCGGCCTTATATTCAAAATAACATAGTGAAGAAGTCACACTATTACACCCCCTTCACGTTGAGTGCTTGACAGTTACATGTTGCCCACTTTTTCAACTAAAAATTACACTAATAAGACTTCTGTAAGTCTGGCATATATGCCCCCCTGCGGTATCTTGTTGACATTTGTGGTCTACAGATTTACTCATCTCTATCAGTGTAAGATAAATGGGATGCAAAGATCAAGCCCTTGTCTTACATGGTCTGGATTCAGTGCTTCTGCAGCTCTAGCGTAGTCTGTTAGAAATTTGGCAATTTCTTCTCTGAAGCTGAAATACAGAATTAAAGCCAACTATGTAATCACACGTGTCTCAGAAAAAAACCCAAAACACACACACAGAAGAAAGTTTACCAGAAATAGAACAAATGCGTAATACATACATAATACAAGGCTTACGAAAGCCTTGAAGACTGCTTTTCCCTATAGATTAAATGATATTATTTCCACAGATACCCAGCATGCTACAGTTCTTGAGGTAAAAGAACGTAGGTACCGTCTGTTACCTTGAATGACAGTGACTGTGACTCAACTAATATTTCTAGAAAAAAATAAGGAAATCAGGAAGCATCTTTGAGGCTGGGTAGAATCTCTTTTTGGAGCTAGGACAAGAATTTGGGCACCAGGAACAGTGAAACCTGAGTAAATGAATATTAGATCAGGAGAGACCTTCAACCCTAATGAAGGCAATGGTGGAGTTCTCACTGATCTTCCTGGAGCCAATACTTTATATCTACTTTTTGCAGCACACAGAGTCCCAGTTTATCCTTCACTAGGCCTAAAATAAATCATTCCAAGAAACTGTCGTGAGCTCTGGACGAACTGTCCATACATGCTCGCTTTCTTGCCAGCATGACAACGGGACCTTAGGAATTTTGGTTGTTTTTAGTACAGTAAAGGCAGGTGGAAAACAACAACAACAACAACAACAACAAAAATCCCGAGAAGCAACTCCTGAATAGGAAACAGAAAACGTGTCAGCAAGTCACTGACTAGGTCAATTCACCTAGCCTTTGGGTTTGCCAAAAACGGAACCCCACCCAGCTTGGCACAAGCCGTGACTAGCACTGAACACAACAAGCATGGAGAAGAGGGAACCCGACTTCTTACCTTTTAGTACCTTGTGTATCGGAATAGTGGAAAAGCTCAGGCTCCAGGTAATTCATGTCAGGTCTTGCGAGCTAATTACATAAAAGAGACATTCTGCAGAACAGTATATTCTTGGGCTTTTCTGTTCTGTGGTACCATATTTATTTTTAAAAAAGCATTTTTCAGTAACAGTGAGGAAGTGGAGAATATCACAGTTCATGACTTACGATTATGTTCCTATTTTGCACTTCTGTTTTTTAGTTTTAAGGTATTAGACAACAAAAACATTAAAACGTCATCAAAACAAAGGAAGAAAATAATGAAAGAAAGAATTATTTTTTGTTTGTTCTGTTCATTAAAATAAATCCTGAATATCGCACTGAGAAAAAGCATGCCAGCTGTATCTAGAGTACGCATTACTTTTGAGGTATGTCAAAACCCAAGCAAATCTGTCAGTATTTACAACATTACTTTTTAATTCAGAGATCAGTTTTGATTAGCTTTTCATCCAGCAGGAAACAAATGATCAGTAACCTTAACTTTTGGCTTTGCCACGTCAGAAAAGTGAGCCACTTACTTTGCCCTCACAAATACACTTCTTGAAAGCTGCCATTCTCAGGCAATATTTTCTGTTAAAACAGGCACAGAAGCTTACGCGATTTCTATGTAAAGGTGAGAGAAGGCTAACACGTTCGATCAAATGTGAGTAAGGTTTAAGCAAAAAAATAAGATGGTTTTGACTTTCAGCCAGAGGCAAGCTTTCAGTGTAAATATTGCCCTGCAAAGCATTTCCAGACGTGACACTTGAGCAGCGCACATAAAGCAGGCTTGTTGGTGAAAGCCGTTAGTCACAGCGCGGCCAGTGTGCTGGGGCAGATGTTACCTTTTCTGTGATAAATTATCTGTTAACCGGACGCCACAAAACTGTCAAGAACCAGCTGGCAGCTAAACCCGAACAGGAAGTCAGAAGGCAGCGACACTTACTCTCTCCTCTATTAAATCGAAGCAAAGTTTGTTCTCGCTTGTTCCCAAGTTCAGAATGCCCTGAGGGGAATTAACTGTTAGTGCAGCAGGGGAGCAGGAGGAGCAGAAAGAGCCTCGGGGCGCCTCGGCCGGCCGGCGGCGCCCGTCGGCGGTG